TCATAGATGCCTTCTGGTCAAATAAGCTTCGAAGACGAAACATACCTCCCTCTGGAGCAACGCAATCGTGGCAATATTGCAGACATGTTCAGTTTTGCTGGGATTTGGGACGCCAGAAGCGACACAATAGGCGTCACCAATCGTTTCCATCTTCAAAATATCAATCATGTTCATGTATTTAGAAATCAAGGGTGTGGAGCGTTACTTCCGGCATCACGCATAATATTTCTTAACAAGTTGACCAGACAGACAGGCACGGAGAGAGCTAGTCGACTTGAGAGACGCAGAGGAAGAGAGTCCAGAGACGATGTGCCGCACCACTGCCACGTTAAGTGGATTGGGTCCTGGTGCGAATGCTGCTTACGTAACCTGATGCCTGTTTCTTCCGCAACTCGGAAGTAACGCTCCATATCCATAAATTTGTCACCAGTCAGCTTACCTTATAGCCGCTGTGTTGACTAATGATATGGTCAAATTGTTGGAACATTCCGCTGAGTAAAGCGACAACCTTAATTTTTAGATACTGCAAGATCTTGGGACTTCTGAAAAATTGCTCACTTACCTCCATAGGCTCTGACTCAGAACACAACGACGTAAAACCGACGATATCCGAGTAGAGTATTGTCGCCGACTTGTAGTTTTTAGCATTCACTCTCCTGCCAACCTTTAACTCTTCAGCTACTGATCTGTAAAAGACCCCCATGAAAAGGAACGATTGCTGGATGATGAAGTTTGCCGCTGATGTTCGACTTTCTTCGGCGCAGTTCAGCTTGGTGGGGGCACCAAATGGAACTCAGCGAAGCTTCTGTGGGCCTTCTCATGAAATCCTAAGAATTTTCGTAGCCAAAGTGGCTAACTTGTACAGTTTTGCAGTTTCGCAAGAGTTTACCTCTTAGTTAACATGAACTAGCAAAAGTGCAAAATGCCCTTCCCAACCACAACAGCGCCTTTTCTTCTACAATTATATGATGAAAAGCGAGTCAAAATGGAGGTTTTGTAGGCATATTCCTTGCCGGTCGAATGGGTGTGGTTGAGCCTGCCTTTGTCCCTCTGCTCCAACTCCGACTTGAAGAAAGGGCGCGCTAGAACGGTGTTTCTGACCCCGCCCATATGAACAACATGACCTTACTGTACCTTTGAATGATTTTGCTGTGTTCACTACCTTTGCGACTATCTCAAACATTCATTTTGCAGAGATTTCAGATTAATCACAACTTGCTTTCAGTGATCTTAAACCTCAACCCACCCGAGGTCCCCGAGAAAAGAAACTTTCTGGCTGGAGGGGCCGTCTCGCACCTTCGCTTGTTCTTTTTGCTAGTTCCTGCTAACTTACACGTCTCGTTTTCGCAAGACTTGACTTTTTTTCAATTGTCTGAGTACATGTTGTTGCATAGCTTTACAGGAATTCACAGATCTCCAGAGAAGATCAGAGTGATCGACCCCTGTAAACCAGAAATAAAATGCCCTCCTCAAGCCGGACTGCTCCAATTTTCGCAAAGGTGAGATTAGTACAATGCGATTACTTGGGGAAGCAGTTCCGAGAGTAATTCGTCTGCCTTTTGCTGCGCTTGTTCCAACAGTCCAGTTCTTCGTTTAACGAGCTCTTCAAGTCCGTTAGTGTATTCTTCCATGTTTTTTATCATTTGGTCGACAAGTGATCCAGACCTGGAAAACTACTACGGCTCAAATTTTGAACAAACGTTTTATCCTAATCTATAGCCTGTGATTACGTGTTTTACAGTTTGTTCTCTGCGTACACTGAGGTCTGTCGGTGGAGCGGGGGGTGGACTGGCCATCCCTTCTCCACAACTCGTGTGAACGTTGGCGGTGGTGACAATTGGATGCAAACGGGCTAATGCCGCCAAAACCAGCTGTTTTGCTCCCAGCGTCCGCAACAAACAAGACTGTACATGGTCACGTGGGCTATCTAGGGGGGCGAGGAGTCAGCTAAGCATAAAAGCCCAAGATTATGCTGGGACAACTTACCAATTTTTCGGGGCGTTGATTCCGTATTTTTTCTGGCACGGTTCACATCCGGCGGCCGTCGCTGAAGCTATCAGTTCTTGCCTGTTACCGAAAACAAAGTGTCACTCTTGGAAAAGGGTGGCTAATGTGCCTCCGAAAAGTTCGCTTGCAGCGCGGGCCTGCAGCCATTGTCGGCTATTCGTCTGCACCTATCACCTAGACAGCATGAGGTCGGCGGTCTCGCTGCGAGGTGTGACTATTTGACTAGGGGGGGGGGGCAGATGGGCCGTAAACGGTTTCGAAGGTAATCATTTCTGGCTGGGTATTCAATGATCACCGTAGGCCAAAGGGAAGCAAATAGCAACTGAGCAATCCCTCCCAATGGAGTCGTACAGTGGGGATCCCTAGCGAGGGGGTGGTATTTGGTCGCTCGCGGAAGGGGGAGGGGTAATTACTTGCCTTTGAGGAAAATGTTTCCCTTTAATGACGTTTCTTGGAATTTCCTGTCAAGTGCATGCACTCCCCGTTTGACGGCGGTTTTTTTGCGGGAAAAGTGCCAGTGGGGAGGTGGTAGGTAGGGTCATATCAGAGCATTTTCCCCAACGAGAGCACGTGCACTAATCTCCCACATCCCAATATCTAGCCCTCAATTCGTCTTACCACGTTATCCCAACACTTCTGTATGAGTCCACGAAGATCGGCGTGAATCTCACGATCTTCTGGCACATGTGGTGGATTGGCTTGCAGAACATCATCGGCTTTCTCGCATATAATAACGTCGTCTTCACCTGCAATTATTTATCTATCATTTATATATTTGTTTGTTTGTTTGCGATTCACTGAGATCTCACCATCATAGTAGTCATCCACGTCGACATATTTTTTGCGAAACAGAATCTCAAACAGGATCGTACCCGAAAGACCACATGTCCGCAGCCTGTGCTTGTTTTTTTGGTTTAATTGTAAGGGAATTCAAAAAGAATTAAATGCTAAAAAGGCAAGGGACCACCTTTCCAGTAGCATTAGTTAAATGGAGCCCTTCGAATTTGTTCGAAAACATCAGCGATCGCAGTTCTGATCGAATTTCAGGAGCAAAGTAGTGGAGATCTGAAACTGTTCGGGATTATACCGCATAAAACAAACAAAGGGATATTAACTGTACGGATTGTTAGCCACTGAGCTTCAGGCCCATCGCCTCAGGAGGGGCTGAAGGAAGAGAAATGAGTGAAATTTGGAGGGGAGAAATTTGGGCGGCTCCGACGACCCACAAAGTCAGTCGCAAGCATTCCATCAGTCAGGGACGCTCTTTGATTTTTTTAAGATATGCACTGAATAATCGGAAATTCATGCCACGATGATT